ACTGCCTTACTCGTGTGAGTCCCAGGACTTTTGCATATACTGTTCCCTTCTCGCCTCCCGCTAACTGCTAATAGTCCCCAAGGCTTAACTTAGGTTGTCTTTTTAAGCAGCCTTCTTTGACAGAATTTCCAGGCTGAGTCCCTTCCTTACAATGCCTGGGGCTTATCTCGCTATAGCACTTACCATACCATATTATATTGGCTGATTCATATAACCGTGATCCCCTCTGAGCTGTGGTACCTCCAGAGAGTAGGAGCTTTAGCTGGTTCACCTCCGTATCCTCAACTCCATATACTGGGACTGGCATATGGAAGGGCCCAACTAAATAAATGAATGAGGGACGGAGGGAGTGAATTAATATATACTCAGTCAGTTACCAAAAGGTTAAAGGGACTTGGTTGGTAATGGGGGCCCCGGCTCCCCCTCCTGCATACCAGATAACTGGTTAGAGGACCCTCAGCCTGGCGCAAGACTATGTCAGGTCTCTAGAGCTGTGATTCGGTCCCACACCCATTAATATTTACCTTGACTTGTAATTTTACACATTTCTTTGTACGATTATATAAATAGCATCCATGTCCCTAATAGACTGAGCTGGTTGAAGCAGGGGCTGTCTCTATTTTTGCTCATCACAAATTCCTAGTGCCCAGCACAACACCTGGCACATAGTAGATATCCAGCAAATATTCGAAGAATGAGTGAATATTGGAGAGAAGGATCACTCCACCCCCAGCCAGACCCGGGATCAGTGTACTAAGGAGAGAAATGCAGGGGCACCTGGGTGGCTCGGTGGGTTAAAGCCTCTGCCTTCAGCTCAGGTCATGATCCCAGGGTCCTGGGATGGAGCCCCGCATCAGGCTGTATGCTTCAGCAAGGAGCCTGCTTCCCCTTCTCCCCCTCTCTCTGCCTGCCTCTCTGCCTACTTGTGATCTCTGTCTGTTAAATAAATAAATAAATAAATAATCTTTTTTAAAAAATGCAGGAACCAAGTTCCCTCTACAACTTGCTGCATTCTCTATCCCTGAAGTTTCTGCACCCTCACTGCCTTCAAACCATCCAGGCCCCAGCAGCCCCATCCCAGGAAGTGGGCCAGGGCCTCGGCTAAGCCTGCAGCAAAATGTCCAGCACCCTGTGAATAGAAAGGTGTCAGTGGATTTCCCCCAAGTGCCTTGGTTTATTCGATTCCTGCTGTGTATGCATCGAGCACCATTCAGTATTTTCCTATATATTTTTTCTTCTCCTATATTTTATTTAAACTTCTAATTTTAGCTTTCAAACTACTAATGAAAATATTAGCTGATATTTTTTAGTATGTCCCATGATCTTGGCACACCCTTTACATTTATTCACTGATTGAATGTTTGTAACAATCTCGTGAAGTTGGAATGATTACTATACTTTCTTACAGATGAGGGCACTGAGGCACAGAGAAGTCGACCCGTCCAAGGTCACAAACTAGGAAGCTGGGCTTTGATTCTAAATCTGCAGCCCTTCCCACTCATTACCCCCTGGTCACCCCAGGTTCTAATTCACAGTCTGGCCACACTGGCTTAGATCTAGGGGCTGCTGCCCAGGTCCCTCTCCCTGGGGCCACCCTGGAGGAGTGGGACACTGTCAAGTGCTGAGGACAGCCTAGAGCAGCTTACTTTCCCTAACCGTCTGTACTCTCTGAGTTTAGGCACAACGAGGAGCATGAAATGGGGCATTTGGGGCTGCAACTTCCCCTCTGGGGCAAATGGCATAAAGGGAGGTTTGCCAGAGCTGCTCCTCCCCCAGCTTCAATACTACCCCCTACCCTCCACTGGCTTCCCTCTTTAAGCACTAACTCGGAAGATCTAATTTTCTGCCCCCACGAGTGTGTAATTAAGACTGGGCAGATTAAGACCTCGCTACCTCTCATTCCTGATCTGCCCGCAGAAAAGCCAGACCCCTCCTGAGTACCCTCATTCTTTCTCTGCACTAACCACTCCCCACCCCTCCTTGCACTCCTGCTCAGAGGTCTTGAGGACTCATCCCAAACCCCAATGAGACACAGGTTAGCTGGGTTAGGTGGCCCAGGTAGGAATGCACCTTCAAGAATGGGGTGCCTTCAAGAAGGGGGTGGTCTTAGTGCTTCTGGTCTTTGCATCCTTTCCCCCACCTCTTCTCAGTCAAGGAAGCTCTAGCGGGTGTAGGTTGGGTGGTTGGGAGGGTCTTGAGATTGAGGACGTGTGAATCTGTGAGGCTGAATGAAGGAGACTTGGGGACCTGCTGTGGGTACAGTGTGGGTAAGTGTAGTGTGCCCCTGTCTACTGTTCCAGTGGTTAAGTGAAAGGAGAGAGGTGTGTGCACAGGGCAGTACCAATCCGAACACACTTGGAGGGAGGTACCTGCGATGAGCTGTACAGGGTACAGCCAACAGAGTAGCTTACCTACCCCGCCCGGATTTCTGGATTCAAGACCTCCCTCGAAATCTTCACCCTGGGGCACACACACCAAGTGCCGCTGAAGGGGTGGGCACTCCTCCCAGGGCACTCGACGTCCACCACCCCGCCCTCCGGACCCAGTAGGTGGCGATTCCTTACCCCTTCGGGGGATCCCCCATCCCAGACTCCCACTAACAGTTTTAACGTGACGGAGTAGGGGGACTGAGGAGGTCAGTGCAGGATCCTCGCGCCACCGGCCCTCCCTCACCTCGGAGCCTCAGGAGCAGGAAGTGGCCACTTGAGCAGGCGCTTGGAGCGCCCCTCCTCTTTATCTAAACCTTCGGCCTGGGAATGCGGCGCGGGGTGTGCAGGACGCCACTCAGCGCCTCGTCCCCTCTCCCGGCCGCCCGCGACACCTCGCGCCGTTGACAGCTCCGGCGCCTGGGCCCAAGGCCACCTCGGACCCGCGCACCGTCCCCGCCCGCAGCAGTCCCCAGCCCAGACAGGAGGGCTCGGCAGAGGAGGTCCGTGCCCACACCCCTCCCTACCCTCTCTCCCCGCCCCGGAGGGCGCCGCGGGCCGAGCCTGGCGATGCGCCCCTCCCCCGGGCCAGCCGCTGCAGCGCGACGCTGGGCTCCGTGGGGGGAATACTAAGGAGCGGGCGCGGTGGGAGATGCGGGGCGCGGGAGCGCGCAGCCGCAGGGCCGTGAGCGCGCCGGGGACTGCCCCCGCGCGCCGTCCGCTTCCCTGCCCCCGCTCCCGGCTCGCAGGGCTGCAGCCCCGCTGTCCAGGCGCTGCACTAAGCCACAGCCTCCGAGCTCGGGCCGCACAGGCCTGCTCCTTTGCGCCCTAAGTAGCTGCCCCGCGCCTTCTGGCCTGCGGCGGCGCCAGCCCTGGGCTAACATCCCGCGCCGGGAACTCTGCCCTGCCAGATGACTGGGAGCTGTGCGGGGCCGCGAGGCGTGAGCCCCGAGATATACGGGACTTTGCCCACGCCCCTCCCCCTACCGGGGCCTGCCCAGACCCTCTAATTTAGGGTATGCGGGTACTTGGAGACATGTTCCACGCCCAGAAAAGGTTTAAAGCCTGGAGAGTCCCTCCTGACACAGGGAAAAAGGCCTGCACTTGCCCCCCAACCCCCGCCCCCAAGCAATCCGGTGTGTTTCTGTATCCAAGGGGACTCTGAGGGCCCCCCATGATTTCTCCTTTGACATTTCCAGAAGCTGTTTTTCTAATCCTCTTCCTGGTTCTTGTTATTTATCCTCCGAACCTTTCAAGTGTGCAAGGCAGTCTCTGGGTGGGAATCCCAGCCCCAGGCCTCACTTACTGGCTCAGCGACTTTGGGCAAGTTACTTAACCTCTCCCTTTCCTCCTCTGTAAAAAAGAGATAAAAATACTTCCGTCCCTGGCTGGTTGTTGTGAGATTAAAAAAGATCCATGTATAAATGGAGCATTTTAGCCCAGTGCCGGCAGCATAGTAAGCGCTCTGTGAAGAGTAGCAGCACTTCTGGGCTGATGCTTGCTCAAAGGGGTTAGCCTCAGCATCTGAACACCAGTGTCTGCTCTCATGGCCCTTGTGTCCCAAGGTCACTTGACCCCCCACCCCTTCAGCTCCCTCAGAGACAATGGGTGTGAAAGGACTCCATAAAACACCAGCAAACTGGGAAGCATCTGCCCTGACCCCAGGAACACCTGGGCCTCAGCAAGAAGGACTCTGGGGCAGCTGGCTCTCCTGTCACCGCCCACTTCCCAGAAGTTAGATGCAATAAGGCTGAAGCACAAAAGGGAAGGTGAACCTAGAAAGACCTGGATCTGGTCTCCCAAAGACTCCAAGGAATTCTGAAGGGGGCTGGCACTGAGGGACTGTGAATTCGAGGGCATGAGGGAATCCCACCTTGGGAGGTGCAAAGAGAAGGGGCAAGAGAATCATCTTATTGCCTTTATTCCGCTGACGGCCCAGCTTGCCCCACTGCAGGGCACAGGGCCAAGCTTTTACACACTCACCCATGCTCTCTGTGCAGGCCAGTGCGTGCACAGACAGACACACACACACACACACGCACACACACAAACACACTCACATACACATCCAAACTCTGGCTCTGAGAGTCAGTCTCTGGGGGGCAAGGGGCTACTCCTCAGCCTGCCCCTGCCTGCCCTTTTATGACAGCACCAAGGGTGGGGGTGGGGCAGGGCCCTCAGCCCCCAGAACAAGTCCCTGTGCAAACTGGAGGCGCCAGCTGGCTTCAGGATGGGGTGTCACATTTCCCCATTCCCGGAGTCCCCTCCTCCAGTTCCTGAGGGAGGGACTACTCTGCCTACCTGGGGGGCCAGACCCCTGCCAGGGCTGGGCCCTATAGAACCCAGGCTTATCCTCCACCTGACCCTACCAGGACCTCCAGCACTGAAGAACAGCGAAGTCTGAGGTGCTGGGGATCCCCCACTGGAGAGCAGGAAGACCTGGGCCCTGAAGGGCTTGGGGAGGGGTCATCACCCCCTCTCCTAATCCATCTTCAATATGAAGAGGTTTGGGGCACACTTCCTGGGGAGGGAGCACAGGCCTGGAGGAGAAGTCCCAGTTTGGGCCTTCCCCAAACTTCCATCTTCTGGGCCACAGCCTAAGGCCAGGCATCCAAAAGTCCAAAAGTCTAGCCGGCTGGTCAGAGTCCCTGCACAGTCCTTGGGGGGCACCCACCCCGTAGGGGTCAGGTGTCAGACCTGCACGGGCAGTGTCTGGTTCATCTGCAGCCGCATGTCCTGGATACTGCTGAGGATCTTCTTCTGATGGCCAGCCAAGGTGACCCCGATCCGGAGCAGGTCTCTGTAGACGGACCAAGGGCACGGTCAGTCCTTTCCCTCCTGCCCCCGACTCGGGGCCCTGCTCAGCGCCCCCTGCCCAGCCCTTCCAAATCTGAGGCACACTCACTCTGCAGTCATCTGAGCCACCAGGTCAAAGGTCGCAAATCCCGCGCTGACAAAGCTCTCCTTGTAGCGCCCCATCTTGATGGCATCTAGCCAGTCACCAACTGTCGTAAAGGTCGTGTAATCCGGGACCGTGCGGTCCAGGAGGGGCTGTGACATGCTGTGGCAAGAAGAGAGACTCAGTGAATCCTAACGGCAAGGGAAGCAGGGGCAGGAGTAGGAACACAGGGCACCTGGGTGGCTCAGTTGGTCAGGTGTCCGACTCTTGATTTTGGCTCAGGTTATGATCTTGGGCTGGTGGGGTCAAGCCCTACGTTGGGCTCTACAATCAGCAGGGAGTCTGCTTGGGATTCTCTCTTTCTCTCTCTCCCTCTGCCCCTCCCCCTGCTCACGTATGCGCTCTCTCTCTCTCTCTCTCTCTCTCTCAAACAAATAAATCAGTCTCCAGAAGCAGGGTGGGAATAGAGGCAGAGACACTGACCCAGACTGGGCACTGGCGATGACCTTGAGGCTGGCAGCATTGCGGATGAGCTTGTCCAGGGTGTTAACAATCTGGGAGAATTTAGGCCTGAGGTTCCGGTCCCGCACCCAGCAGTCCAGCATGAGCTGGTGCAGGGCTGTGGGGCAGTCCATGGGTGGGGGCAGCCGGTAATCCTGCTCGACGGCATTGATGACCTGAGGCGAGAACAGGGAAACCGTGAGTGAGCCGCCACCTTGCTCCCCAGCTGACCCCCACCTACCCAGCCACTCTGGCTGGCCCCACTCACATCCTGGTTGCTCATGTCCCAGTAGGGTCGCTCTCCGTAGCTCATGACCTCCCACATGACGATTCCATAGCTCCAGACATCACTAGCAGAGGTGAACTTCCGATAGGCTATGGCCTCTGGGGCAGTCCAGCGAATGGGGATCTTCCCGCCCTGGTGGGGGGGGCACACGCCCTTCACCCTGTGACTCGGGGCTGCTCCCCAGCCCCAAGCCCCTGCCTGGTCGGCCCCGCCCCCAGTCTCCCTCCCAGCTGCTTCCTGTACCAGGGAGCTGGTGTAGGTAGGATCGGAGGGATCATCCTCCAGGAAGCGGGAGAGGCCAAAGTCTGAGACTTTGCAGACCAGGTTGCTGTTGACCAGAATGTTGCGGGCGGCCAGGTCTCGGTGCACATAGTTCATCTCAGACAGGTACTTCATGCCCGCAGCAATGCCCCGAAGCATGCCCACCAGCTGAATGACTGTGAACTGTCCGTCGTTGAGCTGAAAGCAACGGGAAGGCTCAGGTGGGCCCATCACCTCCCTACTGGCCCAGGGCCCTCCCAAGACCTTCATGCCCGCCCATCTGTGCCTCCATCTACCCTCTCTAAGTCCTCGGAGACCACGCCTCACCTATCCCTGTGACTATGTGCAGAGATCACTGGAAGGAAGCGGCCCACTGTGTGGCAGGTGTCTGTATACAACATCCTAATGAACCCCCGTAAGGATCCAAAGAGCTCTCACCACTCATTTTATAACCAAGGCAGCTCAGACTCAGAGAGGTTAAGTAAAGCCCGAGGTCACACAGGCAGTAGAGGACAGAGTCAGGATAAGAACTTTGGTCTTTCTGGCTCTGAGAACCTGGCTGATCCCCTGCACCAGGCCACCTCAGTAAATAGTTGTAGACCTGAAGAGGGTAGGGTCTGTCTGGCCTTGCAGGAGGGGGTGGTCTGCCTGAGGCAGCTCTCTGGAGTAGGAGGAGGGAGAGGGGCTGGGGCTGCCTCATACCCGGAGGAAGGAGTCCAGGGCGCAGTTCTCCATGAACTCGGTGAGAATCATGACCGGCCGGCTTTTAGTGACCACGCCCTCTAGTCGGATTATGTTGGGGTGGTCAAACTGACCCATGATGGACGCCTCGCTGAGGAAGTCCCGCCGCTGCCTCTCGGTGTAGCCCACCTTCAGCGTCTTGATGGCCACGAACACCTCCCTGCGGCCGGGCTGTTTCAGCCGACCCCGGCACACTTCCCCAAATTCCCCTGCAGGGCAGAGGGCACAGGTAGGAAGTGGCTTCTGGGATTGGCCTTATGTGCAGTGCATGCCGGCCCCTCCCTGGGGTAACCCCCCCACCCCGCCTCTCCTCCCCACTGTGCCCTAGGGGACTCACCAGCTCCAATCACCTCCTCGATCTTGACACAGGATACATCGATCTCCTTGGCAAACTCTCGCACAGCCTCATTAGGGTCCTCATAGGTAAAAGGGTCAATGTAAACCTTCATTCCAGGAGCAACTAGAAGAAGAAAAGGTGGGCATGAGAGGGGCCAGAGCTTTGGCCTGGGGTGGGGGACAGTGAGGGATACTGCACCTTCCCTGTCCCTAATGGGAACACATTTCACACCCTCCCTCCTAAGTCTGCTCCGTATTCCTCCCTGCTGGAGTCCCAACTCGCCCCTTCCCCACCCACTCACTGTTCCCTCCATGAGAACTAGTGACCATAAAGGCTAGACACCTAGGATTCTTATTCTTCTTTCTCCCTCATCCCTTATGTCAAAACATCTCTCGGATTCATCCCTCTCTCATTCCCACTGCCCCTGACCTTATCCAGGCCTTCAACACTCAGACTATTGCAATAGTCTCCCAGCTGGGCTCTCTGCCTCTGGACTTTTCCCACCAATCTATCCTGCATACCTGTCTCCCTAAAACAATACTCACATTGTATCACTCCCCAGCTTGAGAGCCTTTCGGATTACCTATGGTGGAGTCAAGTCCAAACTCCTCTGCCTGCGTTTCACGACCCTTCGAGGACTGGCCACAACCGCCCAGCCTCACTCCCAAGCAGCTGTCAAACCGGTCTTCTCACTGCCCCCACAGTCGGGCACTCTCCCCACCCCACCCACCACCTTCCAGAGGCTCCTCTAGCCAGGAATGCTCTCCCCCACCTCTCTAAACCCTGCTCAACTTGCCTGGCTCAGCTCAGTCCAAGGCCACCTCCTCCAGGAAGGCTTCATCTTTTCTGAACTCTTACCACCCTTTGTAACAGGAACACCCAGCTTAACACCAAACTGTTTTCTCATTTTTTTTCTGTGTACATATCTTTTCTTTCTCCTAGGATTAGCTGCCTTTGAGGAAAGGGGTCACTTCTCATGCGTCTCTGAGGCTGGCAGGAGGGAGGTGGGGGCTCAGGAAAGGGCACTTGAGTGGAAGCAGGAAGGGCTATCTGGAATAGGAGTATGAGGGATGAAATCCCAGGCAGGGCAAAGGGTATCTCTAAGCCCTGCAGTAACCAGGGGAACTTGGGGGTGCGATGGGGGGCGGGGGGCAGGATCAGGATGAAGAGAGAAACTCACTGTATTGCTGCAGCTTCTCTGTATACTCCGAGTCAGAGCCGTGCCGCTGCTTCCTGGTGGGGGCAGTGGGGGGGCAGCCTGAGACAAGCCCAACAGCTCCCTCCGTTCAGGGGACCCTTGGGCTCACAGGAGGGGCAGGGTGCGCTGGGGAGGACCTGGTGCCTCCTGGGTCTCTGGGCAAAGGGCTCAGTGGACTCGGTCCCCAAGGGGATCTGACGGGGATCAGGCCAGGGGCGTGGACTGGAGAGGGCCTCGGCAGCGAGGAAGGTCTGGGCCCACCAAGGGCCTCTGTGGCACATGGGCTCTAGGGTATTCCAGGGAAGCTCTCGCCAGCCCATGGCAGCAAGCCAGGCCCAGGAGTACCTGAGACAGACGACAGCGATGACCACGACAGCAACCACAAAGACCAGCCCAGCCGTGGCAGACCCCACGATGAGGGGAAGCTGTTCCTGGAGCTGCTGGGCGCCGGAGCCTGGAGAGCGGGAGGGAGGGGACTGGGTAAGTGGAGAAATGGAGAGTCTGAGGCAGGCAGGAACAGGAGCAGTGGGGTACGTACCTCTCTCGCTTGTGGTCTCAAACTCAGCCGGACGGCTGTACTGCCCGTAGCCGGCCACGGTGCGGGCTCGCACCTGGACCACATAGCGGGCCTCAGGCCGCAGCCCATCCAGCTGTACCGAGTTCTTCTGGCTGGTCACCGTGGAAGCAATGCCCTCACTCTGCAACACCAAGAGGGATGAAGCACCTCAGCGGCCCTGAGGCCCAGCAGCCACCCACCAGGGCCCACCTGTGGCTGCCCCAGTACCCAAGACCTGGCTCCCCAGGGCCCCGACACCATTTGGGGTGTCCTCTTCTCACCCCAAAGCCTCCTCCTGCCCCTCAAGGCTCTGACCTTCTCAAAGTATTTCATCTCATAGTCCAGGATGACTCCATTGGGCCGCTCTGGGGGTGCCCAGGAAAGGGTCAGGCTGCTGCCTGAACTGCTGTGGAGATGGAGTGTAGGCACTTCGGACGGGGCTGAAGGAAGATGGGGCGGGGGCTCACCACGGGCTCCCCAGGACCCGGTGCCCAGGGGACCCCCGGTGGTCCACTGGCAGGCCCTGGGCAACCGAAATTCTGTGTGGGAGGAAACGACCCGGGCCCTACCCTCCTGCGTCCCCTCCTCACCCGCCTGGTTGGTGGTGATATTCACGGCTGCGTAGCGGGGGGGCAGAGGGCTCTTGCCCGAGACCCCGTTGACGGCCTGCACCTCAAAGGTGTAGCGTGTATGAGCCAGCAGATGGCTGATGTGGACCCGGCGCTCAGTCAGGCCCAGCTGCCGAGGCACAAACTCCACATTGTCATCGCAGCGAGAGCAGGCTGAGGTGCCCCCAGCCCCGGGGCCCCCGCGGCACTTCTTGCAGATGACGTTGTATAGGAGGTCATCCCGGCCCCCCAGGTCCCGGGGCTCGCTCCACTCGAGGATCAGTGTGGTCTCATTCACGTTGGAGATCACACCCCGGGGGGGAGATGGCACCGCTGTAGGGAAGGTGGAGGGAGAGGGCAGTGAGCGAGGGCCCCAGCACTGCCCTCCCACTCGGAGTTCCTGTGTCCAGTAAGCAGTTTCCTATGGTCTTACTCTTGTCTCTGCTTTAATAAGCAGAAGAGCTTTCCTACACTTCTCCACTAGGAAAATTCGATTTAGCCTTCAAGGCCAAACTCGAGATGTCACCACTTCTTGGAAGACTTCCTCAACTCTTCTCCTTCCTGTCCTCTGTACCCCCATAACACAATTCCTGGGCATCCTTCCAGCCCGGCACTTAGCACATTATATGGTCTTTTATCTGTTTTTGCCTGTTTCTCCCACCTGGTTACAAGCTTCTTTAGGATGGCGACTGTATCTTGGTCTCCTCTGCATCCCTGGCACCCAGCACAATGTCTGACACCAAAGACCAGAGCAGGGAGAAAGCAGGGCACTAGGCTGCCCCACAGATGTGAGGCCCCCTCCACGGTTGGGGTTGGGCCAGGAGAACAGCAGTTCTACACAGTGGAAGGAGGGAGGGGCCACAGGCCCCAGTGGCTCCGGATGCCTGGCTAGGAGCTAGTGGGTGCTTACTCGGTGTTGGTGGAAAGGCTAAGCCGGCTGATCTAGACTCTGGCTCAGGGCCAGTCGCTTCTCAGCTGCACCATGCTGCACACCACATAGAACCTCCCCAAGCCTCAGCTTCCCTGTCTGAAAAGTGGCTCTTCACAGCAACCGTCTCGGCCCCCTGAGGGAAGGCCTGCAGCAGGGCTGAGCGAGGCCACAAGTTCGCTTACTGGTACAGGCACTGTCTGCAGAGTCCGAATCCGCTCGGTAGAAGTTGCTGTGGCAGGTGCAGATGCTGGCTGCTGGCGAGGTGGTGCGGCTACTGGGGGGGCAGGGGAGGCAAGGCCCCTCTCCCTGCTTCGCCTTGTAACTCCCGGGGGCACAGGCTGCGGGGTAGAAGACGATGGATGTGCTCTTCAGATCAGTGAGAATCTAGCCCTGCCCCAGCACAGCTCCTGGCTCCTCCACCTCCCAGACAGTGGGGGCTCTGCTGGGATTGCCTAACCCCGGTGCGGCTACAAAAGGCCCTTTTGCCCCATGCAAACCCCACGTCAGCGGATTCCTCCCCGCCCCGGGCCCCCACCCCTACCCCGGGGCCTCACAGGCAAAGACGTCAGCCCCATCACCTGGGCAGCCTGGACTTGTCGAGGCACGGAAGGGAGAGGGAAGGAAGAGGAGGGGTGGGGAAGAGACCACTGGCAGGCTGGCAGCACCCTCTACTCTGCCAGTTTGCCCCCCGCCCTGCAGAAACTTGAGAAAAATCACCCCTCGGACCCTCATGGCCACCCCAGAACAGCCAGAGGTGGGGCCTTGTTTCCAGGACCAGCCTCTCTTCCCACCCACCAGGAGCAGGGGAGCAGCTCCTTCCTGCCCTAGGGCAGGGGTGGGGGCTGAGGAGGGGTGAGAAAAGGGGAAAAAGACAGCAGGAAGGAAGGCTGGGGTCACCAGGAGTTCAGAGGCCTCAAAGCATCCACAAGGGGCACCCCAGGACCCAAAGCAAGGCCAGAGCTGAGTGCCTGAACATCCCTTCTCCTCAGTGTCCTCTCTTGCCATCTACACTAGGGCCCCCGGTGGTCGGCGGTGGGGTTCTGCGAATCTCTGACAGCCGTATAATTTATTATTCAAACTGGAATATTTTGAGAGTGAAAGGGGCTGCTAAGAATAATCATGGGATCATGAGCATACGCCAGGACGACCCAGACACACGAAAACATATGGTCACTCTAACCACACACGACTGGCCCAGGGGAGGTCCTCCAGAGTGTGGAGTGCCCAGACTTGGGGCTGTGCTCTTCTCTGGGGGTACATCTCCCCTCACTAAGGTGATGTTCACCCAAGCTCTTTCGAGCCAGTGGGGGAGGGGGCAGAGGCCAGGCCAGGCCGGTTGCTATGGGAACCAGCATGCATTTCCTGCCAGGGACCTGCAGAGTGTTAGCCCCTCTTCAGGCTGTCAGGCTCATCACCCCCACTCCCTTTCTCCACTTAGGAAGAGGAAGTCTGGGGCAGGCTCCCATAGAGAAGTGGAGAGGGGCCGGGCAAGGCACTATTCACCTTTCCATGACAACACCCCACGTGGGGCCTCCTAGCCAGCCCCCACCCTTGCAAGTGCCAAGGCAGAAGGGATAGAAGGCAAGGCCCTCAGCATCTTGCCCTGCACAGCAGAGCCCTGGACAAGGCCGGAGCCCCAGCTCCCCCATTTCCTGCTCTGATACCTTGACTGTTGTTGTTCTCAGAGACCCTGCGTCCTTACTGGTAGCACTGGGGAGATAACTGGACTCTACCTTACGAGATTGTGATGAGGCTCAAATGAGAGCCCTTTGTGACTGGATTTTTATAGCTAGAAGTCTAGTATGCTGTAAGGTCTTAGGAGTCTTGGCAAGCCACGGCAGACAAGCCTCCTAATCTCCTCCTGTATGAAGTAAGGACAAGAGAATCCCTGTCCCCCACACATTCCCAAGAGAGTCACAGCTGACATTTCGGTGGTGATGGTGTTGCCATGTGCCAGGCACTGTTCCAAGAGCTTCACACGCATCAAATCACTTAAGACCCCTACAAGTCCACAGAGGAATCACCACTATGGTCCCCATCTAGCACACGAGGAAACCAAGGTTCGAAGAGTAAGTAACCTGCCCAAGGTTCCAGCAGTTCTAAGTGACAGAGTCAGGACTCCGATTTCAGGGACCCGGCCCCCAAGCTCTGTGCTGTCAACTCAGCCTCTCGAGGAGGAGATGAGACACCAAGGTAAAAGGGCCAAGTGGGAGTGCCCATAGCTCTGGGGCCCAGCTAGTACGTGGCTTAGGCCCCAGTACCCCCTCCCCCATCCCCCAAGCCAGTCCCCACTCACGGCGGCACTGGGAGTCCTTGGCAGCTGGCTCGTGGCCGGCGGCACAGGTGCAGGCACCCACAGGCACCATCCACTCCCCGTCGCCGTTGCAGTAAAGCTTGAGTGGCACAGACACCTCCACAGCATTGGCAACGCACGTGCCCGGGGCGATGACCAGAGAGGTGGGCTCAGCCCCTGTGAGGGTCTCGGGGAAAAGGGCGAAGCCTGCAGTGGTGGACGCACACTTCTTGTAGAAGGCACGCACGGAGATGAGTGACATGCAGGCGCCCTGGTCCTGGAAGGCCAAGTAGAAGCCGGCCTTGGAGAGTGGCCCGAAGCTTCGCACCTTGGTGTTGACGCGGCCGGTGTCAAGCCGCGAGAAGCTCTCGTCAGGCGCGATGGTGTCCACCTTCACGTAGGGGTTCTCCATCCAGAAGGGCGAGGAGGCAGAGGCCACGTCGCTGTCGGCCTCGTAGTAGAAGAGGTTGAAGGTCTCTTTGCAGGAGCCAGGGATGTTGGGGATGCTGTTGCAGTCACGCACGGTGAACTTGAGCTCCACATAGACGCGCTGCACCTCCCGCCGCCAGATGAAGCCCGTTCGAAGCCAGTTATTCTGGCTGGACTCCCGCACGTTGCACACCTGGTATGTGCGGATGGGGTTCATGGCCTCATCGTAGCCACTCACCTCTTCCCACTGTGCCGGGACCAAGCGAAAAGGACAGAATGAGTGCCAAGTGCCTATGCCATGCCCAGATGCATATTTGCTTCACAGAGATGCGTCTGTGGTAAACTGGCCTGAGCATGCAGGCTACACGGGTCCAAATCCCAGTCCCTGCTCAGTGACTATGGGTCAAGTCACTTAACCTCCCTGTACCACCGTTTCCCCATCTGTAACATGGTGAGAATGAAGACATATGAGGAATAAGGGACTTTACGTGAATAAAGAACTGAGAGCACTTGATAAGGACTATGGGACTATCAGCTATAATATTTGTTGTCTTTATGCCTCAGTTTTGCTGTCTATTAAGTAGGGCTGATTAGATGTAAATGACGTGGTAGGGAATCAAATCAGGTTAACATATATAATGGGCCTGTGACAATGGCCCATATAGAGCACACATTCAATAAACACGGGCTGTCACCATCACATTTAACCTTCACTGCAACCCCATGAGAAGGTATATCTGTTGTCCCCATTCTATGGAAGAGGGAGCCAAGATTCTCCAAAGTAGAGACTTGCCCAAGGTCACACAGTCAGGTCTGATGAATGAGAGCCTGGAATGCCATCCCACCCCAGGGTTTCAGAACTCAGGGGGGTTGTGAAGTCCATCTAGGGGGGTTAATTAGAATATTTTAGAAATGTCAGAACTACAGGAATTTAACCGCTAAGAAATGGAAGCCCAGAAAAGTGAACTGCCTTGCTAAAAGTCACAAAGCAAGTTAAAGATCTGGAGCCAAGGTTTCCTGGTCCCCAAGCCAGTGACCTACCCAGGGACCCAGGAAGGAGGGAGATGGTTGGAGAAGACAAGCAAAGCACTGTCAGCCAGGAGAGGGATGGTGACAGGCTGAAGGAGGGCTGAGGGGTGGGCAGAGGGAGAATAGGTCAAGACGGTGTGTTTGGGGAGGAGGACACAGGCAGACTGAAAGCTGAAAGGGTGAGAAACACCCATAGGCAAAGAAGGAAGGTGACAGGTGCAGAGGATGGGAAACTGATAGGCAGAGGGCAGAGGCAGCCCTTCTCCAGCCCTGGTGAGGCAAGGGGAATGAACACTGGCGGAGGAAGTGGCCTCCGACACTCAGGGAGATGGTGGGGAAGGCTTACCCCACTTTCTGGATGAGATGTCCATGCCAACTCTGATGTCACCCACTTTGTGTCCATGAGGGTTTCTGGGGAGAAAGAGAAGAACAGAGGTCAGAGGCCATGCTCAGGGTGGGGAGAAGGAGGTTGTCCAAGAAAGGCCAGGACACCAGAAAGTGATTCCCACCAGGCACTACTCCATCCCACCCCACCCACAAGTCCTCGAAGCTCTCTGCTACCCTTCCCTGGAGAAGAGCCTGCAGCCACATCCCAGAAACTTCAGACACCAAAGATGTGAGCCATCAGGTTGTTGGAGATGCATGTCTACTACTGACCCCAGCTGGGGTCATAGAGGCAAAAGCCAGGCCCAGTTCACACACCTACAGGCTTGGCTAATCTCCACACAAAGGGGTAGCAGGCCCTTTATCCTGGAACAAAGGACCCTGTGCTTCAGAGCCTGCTGCCCAGGCCTCCCCTGACTCCATTCTCGACACAAAGGCCTGGCACCACACATGCCCAGGGGAAGGGGCAGGTAGTTACAGGGCAGAGCCTGCTCCCAGCCGGCCTCCCACTCAACTACCTCCGGGGGATGGGGCACGGATACTCTCTGAGGCTGGGCTGAGGGCCACCAAGACCCAGACCAGCTCCTCGAGAGCTAGTTCAGTTCTTGCCACAGTCCTTGGATAAAGGTGCTGTCGGTGCACCCCTTTTATAGGTGAGAAAACTGAGGCTCAGATTAAGTCAATATATGGCCTAAGGTAAAACTGCTAGGACTTGGGGTAAAGGGTTGAAAGGTAGCTGACTTGATAGCTAACCACTTAACCAGAGCACTCTGACTGCAGTATAAAGGGAAGAAGAGAGAAAGGAAGAACAGAGAAAGCCTAGAAAGCTATGTAACCTTTAAGTCCCAACCCAGCTCTCAGCCACCCTGCCCTGGAGAAGAGCCTGCAGTCACATCTCCAGAAATGTTAGACACCAAAGATTTGAGACATCAGGTCAGCCTCCTCCAGGAAGCCTTCCCTGAACCACCAAATTAAGGTTAGATGCCTTCCTCTGTGCATCCAGGGCCGGGAGCCTTGTCACAGTACTGATCCTATTCTAAGCTTCAGTTTCTCATCTGTTTCCCCCTGCTCAGCTATAGGAGGGGCCCATTAATGTTTCTGACATAAACTCAATCCCCGAGGAATCGGAGTCTGGGTTCTGGCTAGCAACTCTGCTCTCTGAAAGGAGAGGGATGCCAACTCCTTTCTTAGAGCCTGGGAGACTTTCCCTCTGCCCTGAGCTGGAAGAGGGCAGGTTGGGGCTGCCCAGGAGGAGAAAGACCCAAACCCCCCAGATTCCAGGCTTATGGCCTTCACTGATTTCCTGCACTCTGGGTCTGAGCTGAGGATGGCAGGTGAGGTGGTTGTGGCCCAGACCCTCATGCAAGGCCAAGTTGGGGAGAGGCTCCCTCCTCTTCCATCAGAGATGGCTGGTCCCTGGAGGACCTAGCTGCAGGGTGAGCCGCCCCAGCCTCATGGGTCGGTGGCCCGACAGGCCTCTGGCAGACAAACAGACACAGACAGACATCTGGCAGGGGGCTAAGGGAGGCAAGGAGAGATGGGCAGAAGCAGGGGACCAGAGACAGGCAGGGAGAGAGATGGTGGGGCAGGGGCCTCGCCGAGGCGGACGGTGGGAGGCTCAGAGCTGGAAGGATGTGCAGAGCCACTGGCTAGGACCAGACAGTGCGGTGACCAGTTGAGGACTACAAAAGACGGTGAGGTGGAGAGACAAGGAGGCCCGAGGAGACAGAGACAGAGAGGGAGGTTTCCAAATAGCCTCTTCCTCAGCCAGCAGCCCAGAGCGTTCCGGTCCCTGGAGGCAGGAGAGCCAAGCGCACCCCCTCCCCTCCAAGCCAGCCAGCCAGCCAGCCAGTCCGCCTGCTTGTCTGCCCGCTGCCCGCCGCCCGCCACCCGCCCGCCTGAGCAGGCAGGGGCTCCCACCGCTCCCTCAAGCTGCCTCCCTCCTCCCTCTCCCTCACTTCCTTCTGCTCAGCCTGTGCCAAACCCATCTGGAACTGTTTAAACCCAAATATTCAGCCCCCTCCCCCCTCCAGCCAGATTCCTCCACAGTTTAAAACAAGCCCTGTGCTAGCTCTGAGAGGACGATGGGGCTTGGAGGGGCGGGAGGGGATGGTGGGGAGGGGGAAGGGAGGGGGGAGGCTCTTCATTTCTGTTTAATTTCTGGGGAGCGGGAGAGGGAGGGGGCGGGGATCGGCCCTTGGCCATCGCTCAGCCTTGGCCATCGCTCAATCTCGGCACATTTTTCCCATTAATGAGGAGAGGACTTGGATTTCGAGTCATGTGTGCCCGAGGAAGGGCTCCGGTCACCCTGGTGGGGAGGGGGCTTGCTCTCTGGAGAAGGGGAGGGGACTGCTCCCTTCAGCAAGAGGGAGACCCTGAGGTGCCTGTGTCCCAGCCTCAGGAAGGGCACAGAGGGGTCCCAGAATCCATCTGTGTGGCATTGGGAGGGACAGACCCAACCCCACAGAGCCCACCTTTCCTCGGCTACATGTGTGCCGCACACGCGTACGTGGACGCGAGCTGGGGTGAAGTATATGAGGTTCCAGAGGTAAGGACAAGAGAGGGCTGAGAGAGCAATCTCCAAACTCCTCAGCTGCCAATCGCACCCCCATCCTCCTCTGCCCCCCATGTGGCTGCTGGAGGGAGACCAAAAGGCCGGCAGCCACTCTCTGGTACCGGGCTCTGTCAGGCCAGAAACCCCACCGGCCCTTCCAAAGTGAGCAGGGGAGTGGACAGCAGGCCTGGGGGCTTTCCAGGATGGGGCTTCAATGCGCAGAAGTAAACCAGCACCCCTTTCGGGTTTCCAAAGGGCCACAGAGAACGGACACGTGGCGCAAATCACACACACAAGCACTCCCCAGTTCTCCATGGCTGGGCTCATTCTCTGCCGTGGGGGCTAAAGAATGACAGGTCAACACATGTGGTGGACAAAACACACAAAGCCACAGCCGCCCGCAAACACACACACACACACACACACACACACACACACACACACACAGCTTCATACTCAGCCATGGTCTGTCTTTTTCAGACACACAGACGCATATGGTACAAACAGATCTGTCTTCCTCAGACACATACAGTGAAGCCCTCCTTTACACAGATTTGGTTTGCCTTAGGCAAACACTCACTCTTACAGTCTTCACGTGTGCGGATTTCCAGAGACATCTGTATACGGAGGGCACGCACACCGAACGGTGCGTTCTCCTTACACACCCAACTGCACACGATTGCCAGCCTCGAGTCACAGTCTTGAGTGTAGTCAAGTGCAAACGCAAACACCAGCTTCTCCATACAGACGCAATGACGTGCTCTCACGCAGCCACTCATGAGCCTGGGCCGCATACTCATACGTGCCCCGGGAGCTCGCAGACAGCGCTGAGGCCAGCACCTACAGTTTGGATAAAGCCTCCAAGGCCCATCCTCCACGCACACGCAACACACACACACACAGACACACCAAGCATGTTCTTTCTGTGAGCTGAGTCTCCAGGTGGGGTGGAGGAAGGGCCAGGAGAAGTCAGCGTCTGCTAAGAACAGAGAGGGACTGGACCAGTCTTGGCCAGAGGTGCAGGGAAGGAGCAAACCCCAGACCTGCTTCCTATGGCCCTGGCCCAGGCAGAAGCTGTCACCAGTCCCAGTCACAAGGCTGGGGGCAGGGCAGGGGCATGAAGATGGTTCTGGGTGTGGCTGGGTGTGGCCTCCCCAGGTACGCCCTGCCAGCACAATGGCACTGTCCCCAACACTGAGCCCCTGCAGCGAGGAGGGGTGGGCATCACGAACAGACTTAGCCCCAGGAGCTTTGGGCAACTCTTCCATACATACTGTTGGGTACCCAGCAAGAAGAGAAGAGTATCATGGGCCCCCAGTCTGTGTCTGACAGCCTCCCTGGGCAGCCCAGGTATAGCTGGGAGCCAGCCACCAATCCCGGTAAAGGGCCAAGTCCACACAGCTTTATGGGGTTGCCAGACTCCACGGTACCCCAGGTCACAGAGAACACACTGCACTGGGTCAGTGAGACCCAGGAAATCAAAAAACCCCCGAGACAAAAGCAAGAAGCCCAAACTCCAGATGAGGGACTTGACGGCAGTGGGGAAGGTCATGCTCCCAGGCAGGTGGACAGAGGGGCAGAGTCTGGACAAGGAGGCGCATAGCCCTGCCTGCAAAGAGAGGGAGAAAACCCCATGCCAACCCTGAGTTTGTCCCCCTCCTCCTTGAGGGGCTCCTCACTTCGGCCAACCAATCCAAGGGATCTGTCCCATCTTCTCCCTGCTTGCCCCTACCCTGTATGTAAGCAGACATACATGGGTGTACCAAGCCGCACACTCAGGGCGGTCAGCCTGAGGAAGAAGGGAGCCTGGGTTGGGGGGAGGGTTGCTATGGGACCTAGAAAAGCCTAACTCACCCCAAGTTACCTCTCCCTTTCTCTGCCCATGGCCCTCGATGCTGGGATGGAGGGGAGGGGAGCATCTCAAAACAGAGAACACATTTTGTTTTCCATTCCTCCCCTCAGATCGTGGGGATTTATAATTAAATAAACCTGAGAGGGAGAAGGGAGGAGAAAGCACAGAGCAAGGAGCCCAGATGCCTCCATGTTCGTCCATGCCCCCACCCTAGTCCTGGCCTTGTCAGCCAGCCAGCTGGGACCCGGGACAGACGGACAGCTAGCCCTTCGCCGGCATCCCAGCCAGTGTGTCTGGCCAGGGGTCTGGGGGCAGGAGGCAAGAGGACATCTGGGGCCAGGGCAGCCCCTAGGGGCAAGGGGCCTCTCCCACCCCATCAGGTGCCCAGCTGTACCCAGTCCCCCCCACCGCCACCCCCCCACCTCCCCAGCTGCCCAATCCCGACAAACCAGTTTGACTCAGCACAACAGGCAGGGCTACAATTTTCAAACTATGCAGGCCTGGTGATTCAGCCCCTTCATGCTGTTTAATTAGTGTAAGGCCGGGTGGCGGAGGCCCTGCCTTGCCCACGGCAGCGTAGGCTCTAGCTCCCTGCTGCTGAGGCCACAGAGCCAGTGGCGGCAGCAGCTCTGGCTGAAGGGAAGGCAGGACAAGCAAACTGGTTCCCCCAAATACCTGCCACTGTCCTTCAGCGGCTGCTCCGAGGTGCCAGCTCCTGACAGACAGGGATCGGGTGGGGGCCGCCAGAGGTGACTCGATGAGTGAGCCGGCCCCAGAAATCCCAGGCCTGGCGTCCCCTCTCAGGGAGCACCTCCTCGGGGGTCACCACTGCGGCCTCTGAGAGAGAGAGGGACACACATGCTACCTCCTTCCCTTGCACCCCACGTGCTCCGCGGCAGTCCCCACCTCTCACACCTGGCAACCAGGTCTCCCCCTCAAAAGGGTAGGCTCTCAGCAGACCTCTCCCAGGTCCCACGTGGAAGTGTCCCACGGACCAGACATCCTTCCCCCTCCCACGCCTGTTCCTGGTCTGCTCGCCTTCCGGTTCGTGGTCCCGGAGGGGAGAAGGATCTTGGCTCGGGGGACTGGGACTCTACTCGAAGGGAGAGTGGGCAACAAGGTGGCCCCGTTTCCCTATGACTGAGGGTAAATCTGAGGGCAAAATCGGTGTTTGTTTGCACGGGGAGGGAAGCAATCAGAGGGCAAGGGGAGGGGAGTTTCTTCAACCAAGAAGGACAAGCAAGGACCCTGGCTCCATCCTCACGGAAAACTGATGAGGTCCTTGGATGCAGCCTTGGGGGACCCCAAGTGTGTAGGGAGGAAGAGCAACCGGGTGCTAGACAGCACCTAACCAGCGCATCCATGACAAAACAGTACGCAGAACTCAGGTCTCCTGGCTCTAAGTATAAAGGCCCCCAGATGTGGAGAGCCAAAAGGCTCCCCTAGGCCCAGGGCAAACCAAATCCTGGCAAAGCCAAATGGAAGGCTGGAGCCTATACCCCCTGCCTGTAAAGCTTGGGAGTAGGGAAGCTCCTAACTAGCCCCACCCCGTGACCCTAGCCCAGGACCACCAAGTCTTCCCACCTCACCCTTCAAGCTCCAGACATGGCTGGGAGATGGGCAGGACACAGACAGCTGCCCGTACCCAGCTCTCATCCCATCCCAATCCCACTGCTCCCAGAGCTGAAGGGAGATGGAAGAGGGCGACAACTTGCTCTTCAGACCAATCTTCCCCCATAACCCCCCCAACCCCTTCCTCTAACCTCTCTCCTGCAGGTAAGGCACACACCAGCTTCACTTTTGCCCCTTCTCAGGGGGCAGACCCCAGGATAATGATAATAACACTTAATCCCTGAATGATAATGGCTGTGTGCTAAGCACAAACATTAAGGACTCAATCTTCACCATGACTCTAGGATAGTGGGTACTACCACTATCGCATCTCAATATGAGGGAGAACTGAGTGGGGAGGCATACTTCTGTGTGGGGCCCCACGCCCCAAAGCATCTCTTTTTCCTTTCATTCTCAAGCACACACACTGAAAACCCTAAGGTCTGAGATACGGCAGAAGTAAAGGAACTGGTAAAAGCCACACACGGAAAGCACCCCACACTGGCCTGGCCTCCCAGCCACCACCTACCCAGTCAGGGAGTAGCCCCAAACTCAGCTGGGGTGAGGGGGAAGGATGGACAAAGTTGGGGCCCTGCTGCCCGCTCTTTCCTGTGCTGCTACTGCTCATGGGCCCTCCGGTCAGCCCAGTCAGCCCCTCAGCTCCTCGGCCCCAAGGCCTGGATGCCAAGCTCCCAGCTATGGCCTGCCGCTGAGGGTCTAGCAGATTGTGAGGAGTGCAGAGGAAGAAAGGAAGGAAGGAGTGAGCCTCTTCAGGCAGTCCTTGCTCCCCTGACCCAAACCACACCCCCTCCACCCCACTGTCAGCAGCAGCACCCACCACACCTGACAAGGAGGGCCCCACGCCTAGCACACACAGAGCCCCATAAGCACCTGTGCCTGTGTGGCTCCTCCTGGGCTAAGACACAGAGACACAGACCTGGGAACTCCAACAGGCTCCCTGGCTCACACCCTTGAGGCAATCAACAACAAAGCCCCACACTGGTTTCTCACGCCTGAGATGCTATCACACACATGTGGGCGCGACCTCAGTGTGTCTGCCGGGATTTGCATGTGTCCACCCGTGTGAATCGGCCTGTCAGCGCCGGTGGGCTCCGAGATAAAAGGGGCTGGGGGTTTGTAGGAACGTTAACCAGAGAGAAAACTGGCAAGCACCAGAAGATGCCTTTCTCTCGGAACTGTGCTCTTTCTTCCTTTAAGTTTACCAGTTGTGAACATACAAACAAACCAAGTTACACAGAATTCCTATTTTTGTTCCTCTACTAAGTGACTAGATGTGCTGTTAAAGACGCCAAAACTAAGTACTGTCTATATTCCAAGGTCCCACAAATCTCTGTGGTGTCCTACCCTCCAGATTAAGGTCTTCTCTCTTTTAATGGTTCCAAAATTTTAGGAAACCCTGTGTGTGTGCGTGTGTCTATTGTCCGTGACCAGTGTCAGTGCCTCTCTCTCCCTCAGTCTCCTGTCAAGTGGCCACATGTGTGTGAGCTCTCCCACCAGGGCCAACAGCATCCTGTTCCCCCAAGTACAGTCGTTTGGAAGTTGGAGCTACCCGCTCAGCACCGTCTGGATCGGTTTCACACAACCTACTGAGGAACTCGGCCTTTCCCCACCGCCAAATGGGGCAAACCCCTGAACTTCGGGGGTCCAACGGAGACCCGAACATTCGCATGTCCTGCTAGAAGGCGGAGAGCCGCAGAGCAGCGCGCACTGGCCGTGGAGGCAGCACCTCGTGTGTAACTGGCGCTCCATAAACCATAAACAATAACAGGCCCCCGCCTCTCCACCCCCGCAGCCATCCCCTGACAAAGCAGGGTGCACGCACTCACACCTCTCACAGTCGACTCCAACGGGTTCCTAACCAACGCCGCCCCCCAACCTGGGAGTCCCGCTTCGCCCCCACCCGCCACAGCCCCGCGGCAGCCTCGGAGGCCCCCCGCCTCGCCCGGTGGGTTGTCCACACTTCCTCGCCTCCCCGGGCAGCTTAGGGCTCCGCTCCTCTGCGGTGAGTGCGGGGTTCTCCCTCATGAGCTCACAGCGGTTCTGTGACTTTCGGGGACGCTCAACCCGAGTCGAGCTGCCCGAGATGCACGACCCACGTACCGCGGGCCTCGGGGCCATCTGGAGCCTGCGAGGCGGCTACGGGGGTGTCCTCCCCACCCCATCCTCCCGCCCCCGAAACGGCGCGGGTGACGGAACCTCCTCCGACGTGCGCCCAGCCCGCATCTGACCCAGACGCGGGTCCTCTCCGGCCTACGCTCGGGCGACCCCGGCCACCGCAAGCCTCGGACGCGCCCCCCGACGCCGCTCACCTTCCAGCGCCCGGCAGCCGGCGGGCAGCAGCAGTGGCAGCAGCAGCAGCGGAGGGAGCAGCGGCAGGAGCCCCGGCGGCGGCGGCGGTGGAGGCGGCGGGCGGGCTCGGGCCATGGCCGGGGCGGGCTCCGGGAGCCGAGCCGGGCCGCGCCGGGCCGCGCCGGCGGGGCTGCGGGGACCCGGGGAAGGGTCCGCTTCGCGGGCTCCGAGGAACGCTCGCGTACGGTCCCAAGAGATCCGGGCAAAGAGAGGGTGCGATCCAGGCGGGCGGCTCCGAGACCGAGGCGGCGGCCCGAGCCTGGCGATGCTGGGGGATGCGGGCAGGTCGGACCCGCGGGAATCTGGACGGACCGGTCCAGGAGGATCCCGGGCGCTGGAGAGCTCGGAGCCGGAGAACTCCGGGAGGCGGGCCGGGGCGGGAAGGAGCAAGTGGTGGTAGTTCGGGGGCACAGTTATCCGGCGGTCTGCCGCGGGCCGGACTCGGATCCGGGGCTCCGGGTGCGCGTGCCGTCCGGGTTCCGAGCAGGGTTCTTGCAGCGCCGCTCACGTACTCACTTCTGCTGTCCCCAGCGCCGGCGCTGCCGCTCTGGGCGAGAGGGGCGGGACCGACCTCCTGCCTGTCAGCGCCTTGGCCCCGCCCCTAGCCGCTGGCCGCCCACTCACAGACCGCCAAGAGCGCGGCTTCGTCCTCAGGAGCTCTCCGCTGGAGTTCAGTAGGCGGCGCCTCCATCAGGCCCACCTTCAGGGTCTCCGAAGCCTGGAGTGGGCGGGGCCAAGAAAAAGATGAATTAGATTGGGCGGAGCGATGCTGTCAATCAGACGGAAACCCCGCCTCCTGTTTCCCATTGGCCTTTAGTAGCCGAACCGGAGTCCGAAGAGGGGCCGGTCACATACAACGAGCTGAGGGCGCCCCCCTGTGGCCCGTACGCTCCCAGGGACGCCCCCACGTGGCTATCTTTTCTCCGGGCGCCTCCAGACCCTAACGTCGAGTTTAGGCACTTCAGGGGGGGCCTATCCGCAACACATCCTGCGACCAGGGCCTTCTGCTCTTTTATTCATTCAATCATTCATTCATTCATTCATTCAGCCGTTCTCTGAGCGTAGACTCTATTACTGCGGGTGCTACAGCAATCGACAGAGGTCTGTGTTCTCTTGGAGCTAGTTTAGTGGTGGAGGCGGGCATGAAGTCATCCCAGCAGAACATAAGACAGAGTTGCCAGAGCACATGTGAGGGGGATAGCTATGTCTGGCGCTGAGTGAAGGACATTTCAGCTGAAACATGAAAGATGAGTAGTAGGTGAAGGATGTGTGTTTGGAGACAGGGTCAGGATGGGGTGGCTGTTTCAGACACAGCAAGCGCACTTTGTGCGACATCCAGGCGGCAAGAGAAACCGATATTCACTAGAGGAATCTGAAACAAGTTCAGAATATCCTGAGTGTAGGGTTAGAGGCTGAAAGGAGGCTTAGAAGTAGGTGTAGAGGGCCAGAGGAATTGTTTTCAGACTCAGACTCATAAGGCATTCTTGAGAGCTGGAGCTTGAAGCAAAGGCTTTGCCTTACCCACTTAGCGTGGCTGCTCTGGGAAGAAGGAATGGGGGAGGCAAGGGTAGAAACAGGGAGCTAGAGAGGGAGCTGTGCAATAGCCAGGTAGAGGAACATGCTGGTTTGAACTAGCGTGGAGACTGTGGGGATAGAGAAAAGTGGACAGGTCTAAGGTGTTTCAGGAGGTAGGATTCATGAGATTTGTGACTGAGTGGTTGAGAGGTACATGGTGGATGGAGCCATGATGGAGAATCCCCCGGGGTTTCTGGATTGGCAATGAACTTCTATCCCATTTGCTCAACCAATGTTTACAACATGCAATAAACACTTGAAAAAATAGGTCTTGTTTCTTAAGTGGTAGATGTTACTATGGCCTCATTTTACCAACAGAATTGACATCTAGAAAGGCTTGGTGACTTGCCCCAAGTCATAGTGCAAATAAGTGACAGGGATGGGATTTGAATCCAGGACTGTATCGCGTTTAGGCTTCCTCATTCCACTTCATCGGAGATCTTAGGATCACCCACATGCTTGTTAGAAACTCAGAATCCTGAGCCAGCCATTCCTCCTTGGATCTTGGGACTCAGAAACTCTGGGACATGAGGCCCAGGATTCTGCATGTTAAATAAGCATTCCAGATGCTGCTGGAGAATGACTACCGCCATGCAGCCTGTTGCTGTCCTCGCTGGAGAAACCGCCTTCCAGGAGCCGTCCCAGGGCCTTCCCCAGCTACCCCAAGATGTCTGGGGGGCAGAACATAAGCGATGAGACTCTAGGTGGACTCATACTTAATCCTCTGATCACGAAGTGCCTCAGTTCCAGTCCTGGAAGCTCCATGGGAACAAATGAAGTCACGATCTGGTGCCTGAAGACATGGTTCTGACAGCAGGCCATCCTCCCAGCCGGAGACAGGGTGTGTGTGGGCACACAGGGCTGCAGTAAAGGGCGGCTATGAGACAGAGGGCCAGACTGCACCTTAGCCTCCAGGCTCTTCTAATTCCAGATCTGTTCTCAAGCCCAAGAGAGTTCTCCCGACATCTTTCAAGGCTCAAGACCACAGAAGGGACCTTGGAGCTCATCTCATGCAACTCTCCCATTGTAGAGCTAGAAATCCTAAGGCCCAGAGAGAACTGTTTGCCCCACAGTCCCCTCTGCCCTGGGGTGCTGGTTGGCATTGGGTAGTATTTTGGCAGGCGTCCTGACAACAACACCTCTCAGCCAAAGCCCTGCTCGTTGCAAGGCGGATCTGTGAGGCCGGCCTTCCTGTTTGCTCAGCAGCTATGCCAGGCGAGGCCTCGCCCTGGACAAACACAGACTGCCGGGCAGCAGGCACCAAGCTCCTTTGTTCTTGGGCCTGATAGCAGGGCCAGCAGGTAACAGAGGGCCCGTCACCGGATGTTGGCACCATGGTTCCCACGGGAATGCTTTCTGATCAAGAGGCCGACAGGCTGAAGGGCACCCAGGTACTGGCTCCAACAGCCTGGGGCAGGAAGGCGACCACCTGGCAAGAGAGCAGACGTGAGTGGGGAGCAGGTGGAGGCATGGGGACCAAAAGCCAGGCCAGATAAGGAAAGCTGAGACACCTCCATCTCTTTGGGGCTAGGCGGGCAGAGAAGGTGCCAAGGAACCCAGGGATCAGCCTCTGACCTTTGATTTGGAATAAAGGGAAAATGTCCAGAGTGAGGTCAAAGTCCCTCTCTCTAGCCCACCATCCTTTGTCCATTTGAAACTAGGAGGAAGCTTCATGTCGAAGCAAGAGCTTGCTGAGACCCAAGTACAAACCCTGGCATGGTCATTCACCAGCTGGGGGATAGGAAGCTAAAACTTTCTGAGCCCAAGTATCCATGGGAATGAAGGTAGGATGGTGATCACACTTCCTAGTAGGCCTATTGTGGTAGTCTGGCCACGGGGCAGGAGCGCAGCAGGTGCCAGTTAAATAGTCCCGATGATAATTAATACCAGTCCCCAGAACCTCTCTGGCAATGCTGACAACTAGAGGAATGACTATGAATTGAATTGGGGCTTAAAGCTCCCTGCGGCTGTGACCAACTTCAGATTCTCTTTTAAAAAGATAATAAATAGGGATACCTGGGTGGCTCTGTAAGTTAAGCGTCTGCCTTTGGCTCAGGTCATGATCTCAGGACCCAGGGACGAGTTCCTTGATCAGCGGGGAGCCTACTTCTCCCTCCACCTGCCGCTCCCCCTGCTTGTGTGCTTTCTTTCTCTCTAACCAACAAGTAAATAAGTAAATAATCTTTTTAAAAAGGAGGATAATAAATATATGTCCCTGTGGGTTTGTAGGTTGGGGATTGTTGCAAGAAAGTTGAAACTGGGAGAAGAGAGCTTGGGGGCAGTAAATGATGGTGGGAGTGATCTGATGAGTGCTTTGGGGGTTCTGATTGAGGACCCCGGGGTGGGGACAAGGAGACCAGTGAGGAGACCACAGGCGAGCGCTGATGATGGCCGGGCTGGCCAGTGGTCTGAGCAGCAGTGTGGGTGGTCATTTACAGGAAGAGAAGTGAGGACTTAGGAGCCATTTGGTTGGGGAGGGGCTGGGGTTGGGACTGAGGGTGTCATTTTGGACTGGCTAACTTAGGAGGCCGGTTAGACATCCACATATGCACATCAAGGAGACAGCTGGCTTCACCACTCCCATGTCCTCCACTGACACCCCCTCCCCCACCCTTGCTATCTGTATAGCAAGGTGTATCAACTCTGGTCTCTCTCTGTCCCTTGGAGCATGACCTCGGGACCTTTGCACTGGCTGTTCCTTCTGCCTGGATACTCTTTTTCCAGTTCTTATAGAGCTGCGTTCTCTCAGAATTTAGGTCTTTGCTTAGAGGTCACCCCCTCCCCGTCCACTTCGATTCCCTCCCTCATCCTCCACACCAACACTGTCTAGCCCTTTGCACTATCTCATTTCCCTATACTACTGAGCACTAACTGAGATTATATTATTTTGTCATTTGTTTACACGTGTATCAGCTGTCTCCCTTTCTAGAATGTAAGCTTTCTGAGAACAGAGGCTGGCCTATTTACCAACGAATCCCTGGTGTAAGGCCCAGTGTCCTGCAGGAAGTGGCCTCTCAGTAACAGTTTATGAACCAAGTCAGTAAGTATGGCCAACAGATGGTATTCATGCTGCCTCTTCTTCTCCCCAAGACTTTGTTGGACATTGCTCATGGCTTCTGCACTCTTTCTTCAACATGGCGCTGTAAGCAGCCCTTGTCAGTCAGGGTTGGCACCTGAAGTCAAACCTATCTGCCATCCCTGTGGTGGACAAAAGTCCCCTTCTTACTACTGGTGTTACTTTGTATGAATCTTTCCTTTCCTTTTTTTCTTTTAAAGATTTATTTATTTAGGGTGCCTGGGTGGCTCAGTGAGTTAAGCCTCTGCCTTTGGCTCAGGTCATGATCTCAGGGTCCTGGGATCAAGCCCCACATCGGGCTCTCTGCTCAGCAGGGAGCCTGCTTCCCCTTCACTCTCTCTCTGCCTGCCTCTCTGTCTACTTGAGATCTCTCTCTCTCTCTCTCTCTGTCAAGTAAATAAATAAAACCTCTAAAAAAATTGTTTATTTATTTTTAGAGAGAGAGAGAGCATAAGCGGGAGGGGCAGAGGGAGAGGGAGAGAGAGAACCCCAAGCGGACTCTGTGCTGAGTCCGGAGCCCAATGCGGGGCTCCATCTCACAGCCCTGAGATCATGACCTGAGCAGAAAGCAAGAGTTGGACACTTAACCAACTGCACCACTCAGGCGACCCCTCACCCCTGCCCCCACGTGTCTTTTAAAGTTCCTTGGGCCTCAGTCTCCTTCTCTCCTTCAAGGTGTAGGAGTCTTCCCATTGCTCCTTATTGCGGAGGGCCTCCAGGCGGGAGCCTGCTGCCACATGGCACTTACCATCTTTCCCCAGAGTCACTCTGTTCCCCTCTGTTCTCCTCGGCTTTCTCACCAGCCCCAGACAAGACGAGGCTAGAAGGGACCTTTGATACAGACCCAACC